AATTCCCCTTCAACTAGTGCTAAGTTAAAGGCACAGCGCAGGCAGAAGTAATGTGAGCGATTCCCTTTCTCTCTGTAAAGTTAATCACAAGTATGGCACTCCTGTGTATGAAAATCGCCCGACAACGGCGCTAGGACTTTGCAAAGGCAGCTTCATCTGCTTCAAATTCCCCTGTTCGCAGCAGGCTGTTGCCTGGCGCCCTCTCATTGTTGCGCTCTCTCGCCTCATACTCTCCTCTCCGCGCTCAGTCTTTCACTACTCTCCTCTCCGCCCTCAGTCTTTCACTGCCTTACCACAGCCACATCTGAGGTAGCAAGCTCGAAACCTAAGCGTCGGCCCATTTCGCACCAAGTTCGTATTCGTGTGCAATAACCAGGATGGTCTTGGGGCATGCTCTTGAGAAGGGCTAAGCCAGCGCCTCGTAGCAGACCACGCAAATGAAGATATGAAGACAAGCCAGGTAGATCAACTACGAAACTATCTTATTGGCTGAGAGGAAACGTATTGTCCACTACGGGCCGTATTCGAGGCCGAAAAAGAACTGTTCCACAGAACTTGCGACAACAGGGGCATGGGCGTTGTGCTGACCAACCGATGCGGGTTTGGGACGTTGCGATTAGGGAAAGGTGACACCACACCAATTTGGTCGTTTGTGCTCCAACATCAAACTGCGAAGTGAAGAAGCCCTATCCATTCTGTAAGGAAGGAAGAATTTGCCGAAGAGGTTGAAGAGCTCATAGACTAACCTAGCAGCCAGGGTGTTCCTGCTCACAAAGCTAAGCCAGTACTGTGATGAGATTGGGAAGAACCGATCTTTTCGTGAATGTCAGTGTTAATTCTGTTACCAGAGCAGTCTGATACAATCTAAAAGACCCTCGCAGAAATGGAGGGACTACTATGACTGGAGGAAGTTCGATCGAGGATTCGATCTGAGGACCACGTGTGCGCTAACAACAGCACATGCCATTACCGAAATTTTGGAACTGCACGACGTTAGCTTGCAAAATTTTGAGGACACTTACCAATTGGATGAGAAGGTTTTTCAATACACTGTCGTCCAGCACTCGTACCACCACAAATGACACCATGCTAACATGACGACTCGGATCTTCCCATGAACTCTGAATCAGTGCTTTATAAGTAACCAATTTATTAAATACAAGATTTTTCACTCTTCATCAATTTTTTCATATCGGGAGTACGGAAGTCACAGTTAAGAGAACAAGCTCTACATTCGATTACTTTCTTCGTTGGTACTGAAGTAACCTTCGAGTCCCCATCCTTCCTACTGAGGTGGTTCCGAAGTTACTGAAGCACTTAATAGTTGGCCATGCCAGCTCTTTGCCACATCGAACTGCTGCTTGTTGAAGCGTGCCACAACCTCTTGCCCGTTCACTTTGAGAAGTGGTAGCGCGATGTGGCGTCTTTGGTGATGTTGAAAATTTATTTATTTGGGATTTTTGATTTATGTGGAATTTTATTTCAGTAGGAAGTAAACATCGTACCCTATCATAACGGACGGAAAAGATGAAGGAAGTGGAGGAAATAGTAAAAAAAAGTGGATGTGAGCAAGCGCACACGCTGACATATAATCTTGGCCCACTCAGTTCTGTCAGCTGATTACTCATACTCGGCACTTCTTTTCCCTCGTTTGTTTTTGTTTCCTCTTTGTTTATTGCTGTTTGATGTTTCTATTTATTTCTTTCTCTTTCTTCTGTTACTACTGGTCAAGTTGAGTGGGTTTACAAAATCGTTGCTCGGTGTTGTTGAATTTCCCGTGTACCTCGGCCTACGTTAAGCAATAAAAATAAAGGTAATGATTAGAAGTAGAAGACCGGCTAATACTTGCGTGGCCTATGGAACGGATAACCACAACGTCTACGAGACAATCATCGTACACCTCTCAATATTTTGCAGTTCCAATCTACTTTGCCCCCTAATTACGCCCAGAAAATTCGTTGGCTACTCAAGAGGAGAGGTATAGAGCGAGGTTGGAATCGCATAAGTTTAGATGTATTACTGAATGCATTAGGGAACTCCTTTTGAAATGTACTACCAATCACTGCTTCCCGAAAGAAGATTCCTATACAGATGGCTCTCCTAGGAGCGAATCTCAAGCGACCAACCGAGTTTTCAAACTTTCCTTGAGCGATCGCCAAAAATGTACATAAAACAGCGACTCGAACATAGACCAAATCAACGCCTAAGGTGGATGTTAGATTGAAGGCAATGATGCAATCGCGACAGCGCTATCGGAATCGCCCTGATTGGATAATCGCCAAGTATGACATCCACTGGACCAAATTCACACGTAGACAGTCACTACGACTACGAACAAAAGGTGATTCTAATAAGCTTGTATTTCTTCAAGGAACAGCTGCCCGTCGCCAACCAATTTATTCAAACCCTTGAGGTTTCAGTATATGGAATTGACCAAAAATGCCTGACTTACGATAAGAGCCCAGGCACGGGAGAATCCTACTGTTACCAGTCTTGCTACGCCCATTGCTCGAATGCAGTAATTCAAACCGTCAGCCTTTCTAGAGGTACGACTGGCAGTGACGGCACCCAAGATGCGCGTGGTTCAGGTATTAAACATTGTTTCGCACTCCCAGCAAGCTGGCCAAGAGTTCCATCCCTCCGATGTTGGTTGACTGTGAATGAGGATAAAGCCACTGACCTATATATAGGTCGGCTCGCTCTGAAAAACATCGCATAGGCCAGACCGCTTTCGGAATGCCACAACGATTCTTATCGGAAGTAAACTCCAGTGGGTGCGTGGAGCATCGAAAAAGGGATTGATCAACGCCAAATATTTTCCTTAATCCTTTATACTATTTTTTGGAATTTCAGAGAACACCTTTGCTGCCTTTGTTGCGTCTAACAACATTTGAAGCCCATGCGGACATTTTTTTCTTCCTGTAATCTCACCTCAGACTTGTCTCATCTACCTACATACTTGATACACTAACACGTTGGAAACAATCCACATTTACGTTTTACGGCCGCTTAGGACTTCAGTGACTTTTCAATAAACCTATCATTTAAATTGGGAACAAGAACAACTGAATGACCAAGAAAAATCTTATTGAACGAAATGGGAAGAAGAGCAAAAGAAAAACCTAACAATTGTGTCAAAAATATAGGTCGTTAGGTTATACACGATTGAGAGACTGCAGCCTAAATGTCGGCTGCAAGGATTCCAAAGTGTTAAGAATCCTCCAGGGAAGAACATTCAGGAGAACTTTGCGTTGGCTCCAAGGTGTTGAGGATCCTCCAGGGAAGAAGCTTCGATCTAGTAGCGGCGCCAATCACCATGCTCCACATACGAATTTTTGAAGTTATAATGGTAACGTGTGAAAATGCTCGAGAATGAGATCTCAGAGAGCAACAACGAAACGGAAATTCCACTTCCCACACCTCTAGGTAACAGCGATAATTTGTAATGATCAGTCGATCAGAACCGACTGACTCTGTGGAATCAGGCAAAAATTCCCCGAGTAGATTGGAGCAGGCGAGAAAATACTTCTTATTTTCCTCTTAGGTTTGCTTCTAAAGCCACTTCTTATTTTGCAGTTTTTTTTTTGCGAGACAATTTACCTCTCAATGAGCAATAGCCAGCTGTTTTCCTTTCTCACGAGTATGCGTGATGAGAATGAGACTCAAATACGAGCAAGCAGAGGTTCGCAGCTGGTTCTGTAAAGATAGTTTAATGATTTGGCACCAAGGACCATCCAAGCTTGGCTCACCTGATACTTAGCACTTAGCTCGTGTCCGAAACACGGGTGTATAGGGCTCGTGAGAATGAAAAGCGAAGTGACGGGAGGGAATCGAACCACGATAGAGCACACCTTACATGGAGTGTCAAGCCTTTCAACATCTCGCAGAGGGCTCATGAAACACGGAGACCGAGGGCTGGCCAGAGATACCCGTGGC